TTCAACACTACAACAAAGGCAGCACAGCTAATGGAAACAAGCAGACAAAGACTGAGCTACAGCTGATGTGGAAGCAAATCACTGTCAGTTCAGGAACGGGAAATGAATTAGGTAATAGTTATGTCAGAATTTTTAAAAAACTGGCAAATAAGACAGATGCAGTTAGCAAGTACTTTTAATAAAGCCCTCATGTCAGAAGCAGCACATATAACAGGTATATTAAGTATAGCTCACATGTTTGAGAAGAGCAAAAATAGCTGATTCAGGTCACTGCATGTCCACTAATTATTCTGTCTGTCACCATTTAGATTAAAGACAGAAAGAAATGGGGTAAAATTAAAAGTACATTTGGCAAAGGCACATCATGGTAGACTCACCACGTAACTTGGATAAATCAAAGGTCCTTCTCTAAAATGGAAACGTGGTCATTCTAGTAAGGACTTCAATAAAGGATGTCGTAAGATTCACCAATTAAGATAATGAAGAATGTGACTCAGCAATGTAACATATCTGCTGTTAAAATGACTAATGGAGAGATGACAATGGATAGTATGAAAGAGGAAGGCAGCAGACAAAATTAGTAGCAGAACTAAAGGCTCAGCCTTGTGACTTATTTTAGCCCTTTTGTTCATATCTTTGTCATAAATAATAGTATGGTAGCAATACTAAGCAGGAAGACACCTCTACTACAGAAAAGGGCTGGAATATGATGCAGAAGAAATCAGATGATCTGAAATAGATCTGGAGTGTAAAATCTCTAGTAATCAGGACAGTGAAATTCTGGAGCAGCATCTCAAGAGTAGAGATAGCTGGCACCTATTTAGTGTAAAGATGTAGCTGGTCAACTTATGACAGAATGTATGACATGAAGCGTGCAACAATCCTGCAGTCAGTACTCTAAGATTTCCTTTCCCAGTATGGTCCTGAGATGCCTTCACTAATCTTCGTAATTGGAAGAGAAATTAGCAATTGCTTGAATGGTCTTTGCTTATACTTTACTAAGTATTGACTTTCTAATGCAAGAAATTACATCCTGATGTGAATTCTTCATGTCCATTCAAAGGTCCCAAAATGAAAACAGGTACCCAGCATTGTACAGGCAGCTTCTAGCGTAACACGTCTTTCCAGTGGCACATTTGTTTCCATTAACTGGCACATTTAATATTTTCATAGTGTCACGTAAGAATTAAATCTCAGCAGACTGCATGGCACTGCTCTCTTCCCTGGCATTTCACTGTTACGCTCAAGCATCCAATAAAGGTAAAATGACTTTGCCTACAGAGGAATCTAGAAACACCTTGTTCTTCTGAAGTGTCTGACTTCAGCCACTAGGAGAGTTTCCTACTCTTTCCACTTCCTCCTGACCTATTCAGTTTCCCCTAATTTTTTGCAATAAAGCCTTTTTAACTATACTTAAAATAGAAATTTGTCCCAAGTTATTGAGTAGCAATTACTACTGTGACTTCATTATCAATCCAAGAAGTTAGGTAAAAAAGACAACACATTTATTTATGCCCAAATCCAGAGAACATTAATTAATTTTTCATAAGCAGTACAATAAAAATGTCTATCGGTGAAAACCACAGCAGTACAAATAACTGTTTCTTAGGAAATTTTGGTTTTCTTAAGCAAATACCCTCAACAACTGAAAGTGTTGAATGAAATGCCACGTTTTTTTCATAAATAATATCTTTAATTGATAATCTAATCCATAATAAATTTGAAATCACTAAAAATAAGTAGAAACGTAGTTCTTACCTCAGGATGAAACTGCTGCTCTGTGCGAGAATGACAATATTGACAGCTATCCCCACTTTCACACCTTGAAGGTTCACCCCATTCATCTGCATGTTTTACATTGGGGCAGGGAGTGGACCTAGAAAAAAGTGATGTCCAGAGCATGTTTGTATCTACTTCCTAGGAGAAGTCTCAAATAATTTCTCACTAAATCTCAGAATGTTAGATTCTGGGACCAATAAAGTTGCAAATTCTGAGAGACACTGACTTTTTGGAAATTCTTTGACAGAAAGATGAGCTAGTAGGATTCTACCTATCTTCTGTCTAATGACATTTATTCACAGTCCTGAGACTGTCAAGCAAAGCCCATCAATTCTAAACCTTGTATCACTGCACGAAAAAACACCAAAACCAATGAAGAAACCACAGTGTATGAGAATGATGTAAAATGATGTAATGATGAATGACATAATGACAAAAAGTAAGGGAGGCGATGCGTTAAACTTTGGTCCTAAAAATATTGCTCAGAAATGGAAAATTATAAAAGAAAACCAGAAAAAAGACAGAGATTATAACTGATCTTTTCATAACAAAGAAGGTTTGCCCTAGTGATTCCAATTTTTGCTAAGAATTATAGAAATTGTTTTCATTCTTCACAAGAAAGAAGGATATTTCCACTACAACTTCATAGTTTCTGTCTTCAGAACTGTCTGGTCATTCTGAACAGATACTTCTTTCCCCCCAAAAAATTTAGCAAGGCTACTGGGAAATACGTGGGTTTATTCCATTAGGAATATCCAATTGCGTTATAGAAGAACCCAAACAGATCAGTCCACTAACAACTGTCTGACTGACCAAAAAGTCTGTTCTTAATATGTATTTATGTACCTGTATTTGAATTTTCTGGGATTTCGTCTTCTATCTCGACTGTTGTGATAGTGCGGACATGCATAACCCTGGCGGCAGAGTCTGGGTGGCTTGGTACATTGTTCTGTCTTGTAGCCAGCTAATACAAAATTTGTGTCTGCAAACACGTCAACAATTAGGAGAAATAAACAACTATTTTTTGCATTCAGAGTGTCTTTAGTGAGCTTAGGCATCACACCGCTTTTCGTAAAAAAATTATGATTCACAGACCCCTCCATTCTTATAAACTTAGACTAACTCCTGCATTTTTTTAAATAAAAGTCTAACACATTTACACGCAAAGCAATCTTCATTTCTTCTATATTCAATACCAATATTACAATAAAGTCCATAAGTAAAGCACTAGCAATCTATTGGTAGAGAAACTATCTGGATATTCTCATTATATACATATAACATTCTGAAAATGAATACCTGAAAATACATTATTCATTTTAGTAAGACAAACACTAAAAACTTATATAATTTTATATTTGGATTTCTCTTAAGTTTAGTGTTGACAGTCCTTATTTCATCAAAACTGCTTTCATGTTATGGCATGTTAAGGCTGTCCAGTAAAATCTTCCTGGACAAATTCTAGAGCCTCTTCTCCAACTTTGCCTCTGTCTCTACATCTTTGGTTCCAGGAAGGAGGAACTAGGAGATGACAAACAAGGTTCTGTCTAGAAACAGAAAAATTCAGAAAAACAATGGAGCAAGTAAATAAATTAGAAGGTACAATTTAACTAACAGCAAGCATGGGTTTGTGAGGAGTAAATCATGTCAAACCAATCTAACTTCTTCCTAAGGTGGGAAAATGGATGTAGGTAAAACAGAAGCAGTCATGTCATGTCTCTTGACTTCAGCAAACCTTTTAGCCTGAGATGATCTCAAAACCAAACCGCACAATACTACAAGACTCCTGTAGGATTTGTGGAAAACTAGCTGAAGAAACATTCTCAGAGAGTCATTAATGATGTACTTTCAAATAGCAAAGATTATTAATCAGAGTATCACACAGAGTCTATTCTTTGTTCAGTCCTTTTCAATAGTTTCATTAAAGACTTAGGAAAAACAAGGCTGAAATCAGTGGTTGAATGATTTTCAATCCCCAGAAACTATGTGCAGTCTCGCCATATTTACAGGGATTGACAGAAGCATATAACATTATATAACACAGACCTGTCACAATGCAAGGAATGTGATAAAAGTGCTTGTAGTTGGTCAGTTTTGCTGTCTTTTTACGTCGAACATCCAATATTTTTTGATCTAGAGCTGACAATTAAGCTTTACACATTATTAATACTTAAATGGTTGGAACTCACCCTATAGCAGATTTAAAAAATATAGAGGGGACAAGTATCATGCATTCACCTCCCTTTGAATTCCTTAGAGACAGCATCTTCTTGTGACCTCTTCCTGTGTTACTGTCCCCACATAAATTTTGTGGAAGTAATTGTACCCAGCAGTCTTTTCTAAAGCAAAATTTGGGCAACAGCTCTAACGGTATCTGATTGATACTAACATCTTTGGCTACATAATAAGCAAGTCTAAACCAAGAACATGACAACCAAATTTGGAAGCCTTAGGAAAACTAGGCCAATTTTCTGTTCAATATTCTACTTCATTCCTGTTAGTCAAGCTCAGCAAAGAATAACAGTCCATTAACTAGTCTATGAATGACTCAGAAAATGAAGACACTAATCATGACTACTACTTAGCACAAAACAGAGCTCCTACTGACTTTTAAGAACATTTATTCAATTGACACAGATTAGCAACACTTGTATCAAGTAAACTAAAACAGACCTATTAAACATTTTCAAAACAAAACATTTTCAAAGTGCAATCTGAACATAAACATGACAGACAGTACAACTTGTTCACAAATATCCATATTACTTATATAAACCAATTCTTTACTCTGTTAAAAAAGCCTTTGAACCTTTCCCAGATGAAGACCCAGGATCAAGAAATTAGATCAAGCACAAATAAAGAAACAGAGAAAGGAGACAGGGTAACGTTACCCTGCCATCTTGGATCTTCACTAAGGATCTTCTCAATCATTGCCTGGCTTGCTAGAATTCCTGGCTGCAGATCTGCAATGCCTTCACCGCATCCTAGCTGCCCATTCTGTAAGGTTTCCTGTGCCTGAAGTTCTCTGGAACAGGGAAAAGAAAACAACACTGCTAAACTGTATAGCTACAGTAACCCTATCTGTCGCAGGTATAATCCTGTCCGAGTCTATAAAAATTCTGTAATTTCATCCAGCTCTTAACAAGCCTAAATTTTTAAAAAAATTAAATTGTCTGTATTTCAAACCATTACTTGCACTGAAGCTGGCAAACAAGCATAAGGAATAACCATGTCATACAAATCGGAGAACACATGAAGGAACGCTGGCATTATGTACGCAGACAATGTTTGTACCAGCAATGCCCATCTGTACCTCTGTATGCTGGTGTGCTGACGTTTTGAATATGCTGTTAATTTCTGATATTCCACTGCCACATAGGGCATGGCAGAACTACAAAAGATACAGAAAGTGTAATAAGGGTGATCAGAAATACAGAACTCCTCCTCTATGAGGGAGAATTAAATACCATAAGACTCTTTGCCTTGGAAAAGTTATGACTGAAGGAAGGTACAAAATATAGCTATTGAATACTACATCATATAAAAGTAGCCAAAGTGCTTTTGGCTCGCTGTAAGATTTTGCAAGAAAAGTTTGTCAAGACATTTGGGAGACCTAGTAACAAACAACAATCATTATGAGGAAATGGAATCTCTTCTGCAAGAATTTACAACTGCTTTGCAATTAAGCAACCACAAGCTTGCTGAAAGATCAGAATGACTACTACCAAACTAAAAGGTATTGTATTAGTGGTATGAAACCTCTACCAAAAATCTGAGACAATTTTATTACACCATTTTAGTAAAGTTAAGCTGTACAGAGATTCAACAATGGCAAATCAGTACAAAAGATTTTAAAAAACCCCAAAAGATACTATAGCATAATTGTATTAGGCAGACTTTGAACCAATGGAGAAACGAGGTGAGGAATCAAATACCAGAGGTGGATCTATAACACCCTAAGAGAATCAAAGGCCTCTACCTTCAATTGGCACTGCTTTCTCTAGACACAAATATTCAAGGAGCTTACCTCCTGTAACAAAAGACCCCTACTCAGGATCTCTGAAGAGGAGTTTGAAAGGTGTGGTGGTTTACAATGTAACTAGTTATGATATCATTTACATACCATTTCAAGAACATTTCATTTCCCAGACCTCAAGTATCCTCCAGGAAAGAAAATCTCAAAGGGAAAGGAAGACAAGACAGACCTAAAGCCAAGTCTAAAACCTTTCAAACAGTCAAAATATTTCTTTTACAGATTCAGAAAAAGTGCAGGCAAATGAGAAGAAAAACTGGTAGTTGCTAGAGAGTGCTTTTTTCTTTAAGGTGGATATGTAGAAGAACAAGGCTATTAAGGGGAATAAAATTAACGTCTGCATCAGTGATTCTACGGTTGTTTCTCTGCTCTTTACTGAAAATTAAGAAACCCTAATATCTGTGTCCATTGTAGAGCAAAAAGACCACCAAACAAAAAATAAGACCTGATTGTTTGGACTTCCTTATGAATGCTGGATGCCTGAAATCAGGAGAAGCAATGGCACACAACTGTTTTTCACAAACACCAAAGAAGTTTGAGGCAGCCTACTTGTAGGGTCAAGCCGTTAAACATAGACTCCTAGCACAAGCTCCTAGTCTTCAGCTCCTCCTGACACTCTATACGTAGTCAATCACCAATAAACAATCATGTAACACATTAAAAGACATTTAGAGAACAGTTTGGTTTCAGTCTTGCTATACACTGGTTCCTCATTCTAACACAATACAAAGGATTACAAAGATACTAAGTATTCTCTATTCAGACTGATGTGGCATCATACCGCATAGGCTAAATGGGGAAAGGTAAAAAGAAGAAAAAGAAAATGGACAGATGTCTTGCAGAAGAAGCATCAGCTAGCCAATTGAAGAAAGTCTTCTGGAAAGAAAAGCTGTATATAACTAAACAGTATGTGACCAGGCAATGCAGCAGTGAATTCTGTGGCAAAATATGAATTTAAATAATTATGAAATTACTGAAAAGGCACTAACTTTATTAAATTACTGTGAAGGGAGAGCTATCATCTCCCAACAGATGGTTGGGAATAAGGGCTAACAAAGGTAAGAATGTAAGATAGCAGCCATACCAGCTCTGAGCAAAGGTTCATCTAGCTTGGAATCCTGTCTCCAACAGTGGCCAATAGCAGATGCCTAGGGAAGAGTATAAGAATAGGGCAAGCGTATAGTGATATTTTCCCAGAATACTCTTCCAGTGTCCAGTAAGAGATATTTGTGACGCTCCGAGACTTCAAAGCTCTCTAGGAATTGGTATCCTTTCCTACTGAGTATATACAGACCACTTTCTGTAGCAAGCGCTCCCCTTTTACCCATTTATAATACCTCCCACCAACATGCTTATCTCCCAGCTTTGGCCACAACTAAAACTCATACCTACCACTACCCTGATTCACGAAGCACGTTCTTTTGTCAATAACTTGATTATACATTAGAGAGGCAGAAGATAATACTGATATCTTATACATGAAAAAATACAACACAATTAAAAAAAACCCGCAACATCACTAGGCAAAATGTCAAACATACAAGCTGAGAACCTGAAACATGGCTTAACAAAATCATAAATTTGTCAATGTAAAAACCACATGCAAATTTACAAGGCATAAATGACAAAAGGCAGAGTATCTGGTCTTTCATCGGTCATAAGGATTACATAAATGGCTCTTGAAATTGCAAGTTACAAAACCTTAGTATTTGTATTTCCCAGTGTGCTTCTATCTGCTATCGTGATGCAGAGTGAACTGTATTCTTATGTTTACAGTTACAGAAGCAAGTATATTTTTCATGCAAAGCATACTGCATTTTCTGGTATGTGGTGATAACAGACGTGGTATTTCCTGCTAATTAGGCTGAAGAATTTGAAACAAGGCTACCTTATGTCATATACTGGTGGTCTAAGGTCATGTGGACCATGAGCAAAGGCACAGTGAATTCCATTCTTCACACAGTGACCCCGGGCATCTGTTTCATGAATGCATGTTCCAGTCTTGTAATATCTGAGATGATACTTCCTTTCTGTATCCCCTGTTGTTCGATGCAGGTAAGGGCAACTACATAATAGAAAGAGGAAAGTTAGAGCGTTGCTTTGAATTTTGTTTTTAACAATTTATTTCTGAATTATGCTGTATCTCTTATTAACTTATAACAAGTAACTGTGCAGGATTCTTCAAACAAAAATTGTCCCAAACAAACCACCATCACAAATCAGCCTCAAATGAAAAACATTAATCTATTTCTTAGTCTCTGCTAAAGTTATAAGAATTTATATCAGGCTGGCTCACAAAGATATTATTAATAAATCTAGTAAGCAACAACATCATCTGAGCTAAGGAATAACATCTTCCATACTGATACAAGCTCAAATAATTTCCACACTAAGAGGTACAAGAATTTTTTTTTTTTTTTTAAATGTTATCGTCATCTAAAATCAAGGGGTACTTGAAGCACTGTGATTTTTTCCTTGCCTGCTCTTTATAGACATGGAACTTATTGAACAATCTCAGGGGAAATCTAAAATGGCTCTTCTATTAAAAGGAAGAGAACAATTTTTAGATCAGCAATACATCTTTGTAGATATACTAACCATTTTTGAGACACAACTATGTGAATTATGATCTGTACTTTAAAATGGCTAGCATCATGTATGGATTATAGTTCCAATTTACCAATAGTAAACAAATTTAAAAAAAAAAACATGCAAATATATTTTTGTCTGTTCTCCCCTAGTTTACTTCAGTGTAATTAATTTTGGTCTCTGCTAGTTTTGAAAAAATATTAATCTCCAAAAACTACTTTCCTCCATCCCAAAGTAAAAAGAAACTGCACCAAAAAGCTTAGAGGGCGATACAGAACAACAAATGAAAAGTCACACAGAAATAGCGAAGCACTAAGTAGACTTTAACACTCACAAGAATTTATGCTGGCTTAAGCTTTATTTACTATATTCTAAAAAGGTTGTTTAGAAACTAGACTAAACAAATGCAATCGTTTGCAAACACGTACAAGTCTTGTATTTATATATTACATCAAAATCATACATTTTTCCTGCTGTGCTGAACACCTGCAGCTTATGCTGACTTCCAGGAATTGATACTGTTTATGATTTCTGAGAATCAAGTTGCTTCCTTGTAGGAATTTAAAACTAGCATTCTGTTAAACAAAATAAATGGGTTGCAGCTAGTGATTTGTACTTATCTTTTTAAATCCCAACAGAATTAATTAGCAGGAAGACAAGGTATACCAACTGCAGTGCTACATCTGATTTGCTAGTGTAAGATGGAGCACGGTCTACACTCAGGATCTGAAAGTAGTTCTTTCACGCTTCTTGGCTCTACATGGAAAGACAGACAGGATGCAAGCTTTGTTGGACCCGTTATAGTGTCTCATCTGAACTTTGTAAGAAATTCTTCATGATGTGTGAATAGCACTGACGCAGCCCTCCTGTTCTGCTAGAATTGCTACTGATACGGCAAAATGAGAAAACCCAGAAGAGTCAATCAGATACTTTTGCCAGCACTAGTCCTGTACAGAACTCTAAACCAGAAGAAATGCAACCCGAGGCTGTACTTTTGTTATTGCTAACTGTTCCACCGCTACCAGAACCTTTGCCAGGGGTCAAATGTTTCCATTTGCTCAGCCAACTGTTCACTACAAACTCTAATCTTTCACTCACATACACACACCTCACAAAGGTGAGGATACTCTGTAGCATTCTTATGCATGATGTTCACATCGCCATTTTCATCTACTTAAGTTTGCTCGTTCCTATTGCAAACAAGAATTAGATGTTTTATCTTCCATGCAAGAAGTGTACGGGTGTTTACATCTCATTGCTTGTCTCTCAGTCCATGGCTCCTTATCAGAGGGCAAACATTTTTGCTTAAATATCTGCAGTTTTTCCCTAACAAAATCGCCTTATCAGTGCAGGTCCCCCCCCAAAAGGTTAAAGCCTTCAATTATTTTTAAATTACTGCTTAAAAAAAAAGGTAATTTAATGGAATATAGACATAGCTTGTGAGACAAGCTAGGCACAACTTGTATGCAATGTGAGAGAGGGAGAAATACTCAGGTCACAATTTTTTCCCCACAAAAAGACAACACGGATTCCAAAAACAAGCTGGGAAAGAAATATAAACTGTATCACAAGAGTCTTACTCCTGCTAAATTAAACCTAGGTTTGTTTGCCCTAACACTCAACACTTGTGCCATCAATAGCTAATAAAATCTGAATTTTATTGAAAACACAGCTTTCCTACTGCACAGTTTGCTAGCTGCCTGAAGAGTCCCATAACAGGTGAAGTCCTTCTCCAGAAACTAACAGAATGCTTTAATGAGGCTATCCAGTGTGACTGGGACAGTTTGTTATTGGAATTTTGTCTAAGACTTGTAAAGAACTAGATAAGAGCTAGTTCTAAAGGTGACTCAGGGGACTAAATAGCATGCAAACCTCAAAGAGCAAGAACAATGGCATCAGTTTTGCCTGTGTATGTTTCACATAAAAACATGTTATTCATACAATACCACAATGATACATATGCTATTAAACACAGACATCTTGATCAGCTGTAGTTCATCATAGGATCATTAGTCAGAAAGGCAAAAACCCCTAATAAAAGCAGCTTTTAGATGGTAAATAGTACTTATTCACACACAGTATCAAACTAAGCCAATGCACTGAAATATGCACAGATGTTCTACTCAACCTTTAGTGAACTAGAGGAATGTTATATCTTCACTTTATTAATGAAATATTTTAATGGAGCATAAACCATTGTAATACATAGCTTTAAACAAGACTAGTATTTTGATTTAAAATGGCTAATTTTAATTATCATAGGATTATGTTGCTGCAAATTGATAAACTTGTTCTTATGTACCACAGTTTGGTACTAGGGTTGTTCAGACATCACTTATTCCTTAGGAACAAAGTTTTTATTTAAAAAAAAAAAAAAAAAGAAAGAAAGAAAAGTCGTTCTGAGGCAGAATAACAAATCTACTTCATGGCCTGAATTTCTGCAGCCATCTCCCAGCTTAAAATAACTGTACTGAATCCTAACTTTGTAATCGTGAATCAGTAAAGAACATTACTCTGTATTTTTAAGTTCTATTGGAGTCTACACACAACATTTAACTGTTGAAATCAACTTTGTTTTCTGCATTCAGATCTCACAAAGTAAAACCGTCGTTACGTTATTCAGAGTAAGTAGGTGTATATACCATGAAACAGAACATATGTTCAAAAAAACGTAAAAGGTTAACTGATTACTGAAAGGTATATTTTCTTTTCACACTCTTTTTAATTCACATCACAAGCATTCCAAAGATATACTTTAAGAATAAAACAGTTCCAGCTTAAAGGGTAATGCCAGATGGTCTTAAAGTGCATGAAAACAACTACACAGTTCTACTTCTGTTCAACCTTGAGGGATGGACATATTTTTTCCTATGATTACTTGAAGTGCTCTTCTGTAGTAGACTTCTGTAATTCATTCACTCTTAGAGCAGTCTTACATTACAGATACTAACATATCCAAAATAATCTTCTCTTTTAGAATCTGACATCAGTTGACTACAACGATCGAAAACCACATCATATTAAAAAAAAAAAAGCATCACTTCTATCCTATTGTCACAGATAGCTTAAAATGAAGGTGTCCTGGCACTACTGTTTATAACCTGTTTCTGTAAGAATTTGAGGTTCCTTCAAATAAAAGGCTACATTTTACGCAGAAGACAAAATAGGGTCAAAAAAATACTCTTTTGCTGAGTTCTGAAACAGGAATGCTGCCACACTGTAAGCATGTCCTCAGAAATGTTGGTGTTTTCCTCCACTTTTTTTCTCCTGCCACTACAGATGTGCTCTGGGTCTTTGATCTTTAAGAAAGTTACCTTCGACTTCTCTTGCCTTTCCCAGCTATTTGCCCTGTATGCCTTTTCTCTTCTACCTTAACTTCAATCAGCTATCAACTTAAAATAGCTGACTGCCATTTCTAACCACCAGTTCTCAGGATCAGATCTAAAACAAGGCCTCCACAGTTCAGCTGAAACTTCTCTCACAAATGTCTCCAATAATCTCACCTTATAACCGAGCCAAAGAAAGCAGACTCCCTTTTTCTCTACTCACATCTATCTTCACTTTCTTAACTTACTGTCTGCTTTACTCAATTTTTCTCCCCTTGAAACATTGTTCTCCTTTGTTTATGGGAATTCAGTTACGTTCACATTTTCCTCTCAATCCCTCCTGCAGCATATCTTCCAATTTCAACATTCTCTTATGCCTCTGGTGAGGGGTCCCACAGGACTCCAACCTTGGTCCCTGCTCTTATCCTTCCACACCTGGGTAATTTCACTGCAAAAGACAAACTTGAAAACCACCACCTCTTTGCTAATAACTCCTAAACCCATCCATTTAATTCAAACTATAAGCACGACATGCTAAACCAGAGGTATGAATCTCACTACTGGTCTTATTTCTGGCAAGTCCTCTGCACTTGCATTATGCCAGACAATGTAATCACCCTGTTTGTCCTTTAGGCTCCTAACCAGGGAGTAATCTTCCGCAACCGTAGGGGACAACCTTTCCAATCCGACTGCAGCAAAAAGGTTTCCATCTCACATCTCGGTTATTGAAACATCTCCTCTTATTTGCTTCTAACAATTCAATCTTGCCCAGCTAATACCATTTTAAAACATCGCTTCCTTTTTCCTCCTTTAGAATCAGTACCTATCTCTCAGTAATGAAAGGTCAATTTTTGTCCCCAACCAATCCATGACATGAGCATCCATTAGCCTCATTTGTTGAGTTTCAAAGAAGAACTGCCCATGCTGTCCCAGGATCGGCAGGAGTACTTTACAAACACCTGAAAAGGTAATTAATTGTTCTCTTTAAACAATCTCTAAACATCCTTCAGAGGCATTTTTTGTTGTTTATAATGCTTAGGCAGAGTACTCGATATTGTCATGCTGCCTAGTGCATTTCTGCTGTTTACCTTCTCTTATCTCTGTCATTTAGTTTGTAAAGCCTCTGGGAAAAATCCACCTTTTTCTTCTGTGACTACAGCCTATAACACAAAAGACACCTGATCCGTGACAAGCACTGCTATGCACTACAGTAACCAAAACAATTAACCTTCAATTTTTAAAACAGGTGACCAGCATAACTACATATTTCCTGGCTGTTTTCCTGCTTTTTTTTTTTTTATAAGTCCTTCCTTGCTTCCATCACTGCAGATGAAAGTAGCTCCTCTGACATACAACGATATACCCAGCTCCTATATATATATATATA